GGCAGATGGGGCCCAGGGCGTAGTAGCCCTGCATCTGCAGTGTCCTCTACCCGTTGCAGCAACAGGGAAGACTTAGGGTGAGTGATGGCCAGAGACCAATTTCCACTCCTGGAGATCAGAAGAAAACTTGTAGCATGAAGCCCTGTCTCTGTATCAGAGATACCAGCAGGCTGTCCCCCACCTGGCCCCCAGACCAGAAAGGGTACGCTGGGCATGGAAGCAGGGAGACATGGCAGCAGCTGGTGGGAGAGACTCCCGTGAGTGCAGCTCTGCTGCTCCTGCAGATCATGCTGTAGACACCAGGACACAGGACAGGACAGGACAGGACAGGCATGTCCTCAGCCACACACCAAACAGCAAGTGCCCAAATAGAGATCAGCAAGTGTGGCATGGTCACCAGGGAAGAGAGCGACAATCAGGAGCCTAAAGAAGCTCAGGGAGCTCACAAATCAGTGGGAAATAAACCACACACTCTGAAAACACACAGTGGAAAAGTACAAACCAAACTGGAAAACATATCGAGAATAATGAAAAGGAAGACAAGACCTAACAAAATGATGGACTGCAGCCAAGCAGAGTTCAGAGGAAAATTTATATTTGTAAACACTAATGTTAAAAAAAATAAAAGAAGGGGGTTCAAAAAATCACTTGACTTTACATCTTAAGACACTGAGGGAAAAAAAGAGGAAACTAAATCTATAGTGAACAGAAAGGAGGAAATCATAAAATTATAGCAGAAATAAATGAACCAGAGAATAGAAAATTAATAAAGCCAATGAAGCTCAAATTTGGTTCTTTGAAAAGATGAACAAAATTGACAAACTTTAGCTGCATTGGCCAAGAAAAAAGAAAACTCTCATTATAAAAATCATAAACAAAAGGAAGAATATTGCTAAGAATTTTCAGAAATAAGAAGTGTTATGAAGGAATACTATGAATTTGTGGGAGTGTTGCCATCTTAACAACATTTAGCCTTTTTCATCTGTAAACACAGATGCCTTTGCATTTATTCAAACTTTTTTTCATTTTCCACCATGTTCTGCAATGTTCAGGGTATATATCTGGTCCTCCTTGGATACTTTTTTCCTGAAGCATGTTTATTGTTTTTCATTCTAAATCCTAAGTATTTTTTTCTTTTTCATTCTGTCATAAATGGAATTTTTTCCACAATTCATTTTTGGATTGTTTGTTGCAAGTGTGTAGAAACTCAACCAACCTTTGTGTGGTTTCTATATGGAAGAGTTAGGCAACTTAAATAAAACAAATGAAGGCCTAGAAAGACACGAACTTTCAAAGTTGATTTAAGAAGAAAAAGAAACAAGCATAAAAAAGATTGGATTAGTAACTGAAAAAGCAAAACACCAACAGAGAAGCCCCACCCCATACGGTTTCACAGGTTGATTCTTCCAAACATTTAATGAAAAATTAGTGTAAGTCCTTCAGATATCTCCTCCAAAATTAGAAGAGGACAATTCCCAGCTCACTCTTTTGAAACCAGTGTTACCATGTGAGAACATGACAAAGATAACACTATGAAGAAAACTACATACCAAACCAACCTCAGCAGCCGATACCGAGGCGTGTGCTGCCCCTGCCCTGGCCAAGGGGTTTGCCCACCTTGTGAAATCAGGGGATGTGTGGCACCTTCCAGTAGAGAATCAGGAAACCCACATGGTCTCCTACACCTGCCAGGAAGAGAGCAACCCTCCTCACCCCGAGGCTGAGCACCCAGAGAAGCCCTCAGCCAACCCCGCACTGGAGGGTGGCAGGGAGTCTCCTCCACAGGTCACAAGCAAGGCAGGATTTGCCTTCCTGTCCCCTGCTGGGCGCTGTGCAGGAGGCTTTGGTTAGGTGACAGATGAAGCAGAATGGGAAGGCAGAAGGAAAGCCACTTCTGGCCTACGATGACCTGACCCTGCAGATAGGAAACGTCACACAAAAGCCAGCAGACCCTCTGCTCCGATTCACAAGGCTCAGGACACGAGATCAATATGAAAATAGCAGTAGCTTGCAAAAAAATTAAATAATGAAACAGAAAACAATTCCATTTATAATATAATGAAAAACAATAAATATGCTTAGGAAGAGTTGACCAAGGAGATACCGACACGTACAGACAGGTCAACACCACAGACACGGTCGGAAATGAAAGGCTCAGGAGGCACAAGAGTGCCATGTTCCTGGGTGGGGAGACTCGACATGGTGGAGGAGGCAGCTCCCCCCACCCCATATTTCTAGAGACTGCGAGCAATCCCTACCTGGATTCCAGCTGACTTCCTTGTAGAAATCAACAAACTAGCCCTAAAATACATAAGGAAGCTCAAGGAACCCAGAATATCCCAGAAAAATCTTTACAATATAATTAAAGGAAAGGATGCACAGTTGCAGTCTTCAAAACTGGAAAGTACCAAACTATAGCAACAGAAATGTGTGGTGCTGGCATACAGCTGGGTATACAGACGGACGGAACAGAGCTGGACCTACAGAGATGAATCCTGGTCATGGTGGTCAACTGACTTTTGATCATTAAAGGGTGCCAAGACCATTCAATGGGAAAAGAATCGTCTTTTCAACAAACAGTACTGGTATGACTGAATACCCATATGCCAAAGAACAGAGTCCAACCCCTGACTCACCATTTCTAAGAATCCCTTTAAAATGTCAAATACCTAACTTTAAATGCCAAAATTATAAAAAAAAATGTTCAGGCCAAAATAGGGGTGAATCATGATCTGAGATTTGGCAACAAAAGCACAGACAACAAAAGAAAATCGATAGATTGGACTTTAAAAGCTTTTGCATCAAAGAACACTCTTGAGAATCAAAGGACAACCTGTAGGGTAGCAGGAAACATTTGCAAAGCATGTGCCTGGTAAAGATTTGCATCTAGAATGTTTTCAGCTCTTACATTTCAATAATATAAATATAAATAACGCAATTAAAATGGGCAAAGGATCTTAACAGACATTTCTCCAAAGAATGTACACAAATGTAAGCACATGGAAGACCCTCAGCATTATGAGTCATCAGGAGAATCTCAGCCAAAACCACAGGAGATAGCACTTCACAGCCACCAGAATGGACATCTTGATTTTAACACGAGACAGCCAGAGGTCTTTGTTAGTTGCAGAGCAGGCTAAACAAATGTTAGCTGCAGTGTGGGCTGAACACTCGACCCTCACCCTCACCCGTCTGGTTCCTTATCGCTTGTTTGCCTCAAGTCTGAACACTCAACCCCACTCAAGGCTAAACACTCAGCCCCCATCCATCTGGTGCAACAGAAACCCACATCTAGCCCCTGCCCTGTCTGCCCGAAGGCAGAAGATGACACCCTTAGCAAATACTGTATGATCCAATCACTGTACACCAACAAGGCAGCTTGCAGACCCAAAGACACCATTAGATTTTGGCTATAAAAACTCTCTCCTGAAGGGCCCTCCTCTCTCTCTCTCTTTCTCTCTCTCTCTCTCTCTCTCTTCTCTTCTCTTCTCTTGCCTTTCTCCCTCTTTCTCTCACTTTTCTCTCTCCCTCTCTCTTTCTTCTCTCTTTCCCTGCCCTCTTTCTCTTTTTCTCTTTCTCCTGTCAATCAGACACTGCTGCAATAAAGATCTCTTGGTCGCTCCGTGTGTCATGGTCACTTTCCTTTCAGTGTCAACAAGGGCACGTAAAGCCAGATCACAGCTATGGGAAGGTGAGATGGGAAGCAGTATCCATCTCCCAGTGTGCTCACTTGAAGTCACCACCAGACCCAGCAGATGCACCTCCCAGGTTGTACCCAAGAGAAACCAAGACAAGAGCAACAAAGGATGATGTGAAGCACTCTGCTCATGAGAAGCCACCAACATGGCACCATGAGACGGTTCCTTTCCCCTTTGAAGAACTCTGCAGTGTTTCTCTGTGTTTTCTTGTTTGCTTTATTTTAATTGGTTCAAGGTGTTCTAGCAGACGGAGTCAGCAGAGTGGGAAATCACAGAAAGCAACTCCAGGAGAGTAAGAGCAGGAACATCCCTGCCTGCTGGCCTGAGCCTGAGAGAGGCGCCCAGGGGAGGCCACTGAAGGGCGTCCACATGCACCGCGAGCCACGGCTGACGCCACCTTGTCCTTGTGGACCTTCAGTGTACAGACTGTGGGTTATAGAAGTCTCGTCATTAATTCAAGCTGTACTGACACTGCATTTGCATCTTCAGTGATGCCAAGGCTGTATGTCAAAGGCCTGCTCCTGGCTGAGAAGCTGTGGACAGCAGAGGGAACCTTAGGGGATGAAGGAAGCTGGGTCATCAGGGGCTGCTCTTGGAAGGAATGCGGGGACCCCAGCCCCTTCCTACCCCTCCTTTGCACTCTCTAGCGTGATGTGAATGGGCTCCCTCCACCACACACTCCACCACAGTGTGCTGCCCTCCAAATGCCCAAAAGCAGCAGGGCACCAACCATCAACTGAACCTCCCAAACCCTCAGCCACAGGAGAAACCAAGACAACCTCTCCTCTTCCTTAAGTTGGTGTTGTCATGTTACTCAGCTCTTTCATTGCCAGGACCAAAATATCCAACAACTTAGAATAACCAAGAGGAGGAAGTGTGGGCTCAGGGTTTCAGGGTTCTGTCCATGGCTGGCCAGCTCCATAGCTCTGGGCCTGAGATGAGGCAGAGCATCATGGTGGAAGGGTGTGGTGGAGGAAGGCTGCTCGGCTCACGATAACCAGGAAGCAGAAAGAAAGCAAGCGAGGGACAGGGATGAAATATGAACCCCAAAGTCACCCCCCCCCCCCCCCGTGGCCTACTTCCTGCAGCCACACCCTACCTGGGCACAGTTAGCACCCAGGTAGTCCATTCAAATTATTAATCCTTCAATGAATTAATCCACTGATTAGATTGCAGCCCTCATGATCTACTCTTTTCATCCCGAACATTGCTGTGTTGATACAACAGCATTTCTCAGGGCACACCTTGTAGCCAAACCATAAGTAACAGTACAATAATGGCAAAAGACCTGGCCACAAAGGGTCAGGGTGCCATCACACAGGCACTGGAGAGCTGCTGAGAGGAGCATGGCCCCAGGCGCTGGAGGAGGTGGAGCTCCAGGGGGCTCCTGCTGCTGTGTGGGAGTGGGACAGCTCAGGAGCAGGACAGGCAGCATCTGTCCTTCTCTGGGACCCAGCATGCCCACACCTAAGATGAATTAGAACATACAGGCCAAAAAACTCACACAGGAATGCTTGAACAGCTTGATCTATAATACCCCAAAGCTAAATAGCCCAGCCAGCCCTCAGAAAGAAAGAGGAAGAACAAACTGGCCCAGGAGAGCACAGAGCAGCAGACAAGAGGAGGACCACGCCGGTCTCTGCAACAGTGCTTTCATGAGACGTCACTTCCCATCACACCAGCTCCTCGAGGTGACAAACTCTCTCGCATGGGAAGACTCCAGCTGTGGCTGCAGGTGGGGGCAGCTGGCAGGGGCAGAGCCCTTCTGGAGGGAGGACGACGTTCTGGACTTGACAGGCACCAGTTGGCTGCCTAGCACATGCATCTGACAAACTCAAGGCACACTCATACAGTCAGCAGTGTGGCCTCCCTAAATCACACACCAAAAGAAAAACTGAGCAAGCATGGTGCTCAGTAGCATGCTGGAGCCTCTCCAGGGGAGCTCTGTGTCCCAGGGTGGCGTGAACAGCCATAGTGGTAAGTGACTTGCCGGGTGAACAGACTGGCGTCAGTAAGGCAGAGGGGCAGGTGGATGTGCAACGTGGAATCTAAATACTGCACATGTGGTTTTCACTGCAAACCCTCCACTTGGCTGTATGTTTGAAATTTCCCACAATGAAAGTGGGAAAAAGATAAGAATTCTTGTTATCTGAATGTTTTAAATTACCAATCTAAATAACTTAAGAGTCAAGGAAATAAACATAATTAAAGTTTAAAAATATTTACAATTGAATGATAATAAATTGCTACATGACAAATCATGCAGAATTCCAAGAAAATAGTACATAAAGTGAAATTCACTGCTTAAATGCTAATGTGAAAAAAAATAAATGCTAGAAATAAATGAATAGGCTGAAATTTTAAGTGAGAAAAAGGACCACAAGAAAAGAAAGAAAATTGGAAGTAGATAAAAGAAGAATCTAATAATGCAGAAAATATAAAAGGTTTTTCTTTGATTTTTGAAGTATCATAAGTCTATAGCAAGATCAAGAAAAAGAACTGCTGATCGATTACCTGGAGACACCAGTTCAGATCCAACAAGGAGAGGACTCCACAGCTTCAAGCTGGAAAATTTAAACTTATGTCAAATGAACACATTTCCAGAGACGTATAGCTCACCAAACAACTCAGGAAGAAATAGCAAGCCGACCGTACAGGGATTTCTGTCAGCACATAGAGGGCAGAAGCTCGGCTCAGAGGGCACAGCTCCGCCTATTGGAAGAGAAGAAAATGGGATTCAGCCATAGAACAGGGGATGCCAGCATGGCAGAGATCTGATGTCATCGGAGAGCGGCCGAGGAGAGAACTTCATCGGTGCCAGCGGCGACGGAAACAGTTGGTCCCCTGGTAGGGAGGGTGAGTCACAGATACCCGAGTCTCTCTCGCTTTGTCGTCGAGCCAGAGGGGAGGAGCGGGGCCGCCGCCCGCGCCCGCAAGGTAGGCAGACCTGCGACCAACCTGCAGATCAGGCCCAGCGGTCTGCAGGCGTGGTAGGAGGGGCAGGGCAGAGCCGCCGCCCGCGCGGGCAAGGTAAGCAGACCTGCGACAGACCGGCGGATTAGGCCCAGCGGCCTGCCAGCGTGGTACACACTTCACCCCAACTGGAGTAGGGGCAGAGCAGAGCCTTCGCCCGCGCCCAGATCAGGCCCAGCGGCCCGCCTGTGTGGTGTCAAGTGACCCCAATTGGAGTGGGGGCAGAGCGGAACTGACACCCGTGCCCGCAAGGTGGGCAGACCGGCGACCAACCTGCAGATCAGGCCTAGCGGTCCCCGGGCTTGGTAGGAGGGGCAGGGCAGAGCCTTCGCCCCCACCTGCAAGGTAGGCAGACCTGCAACAGAATGGCGGATCAGGCCCAGGGGTCCGCAGGCGTGGTAGACACCTCACACCAATTGGAGGAGGGGCAGAGCAGAGCCCCCGCCCGCACCTGCAAGGGAGACTTTTCAACTATACAAGAGCAATATAAATATATAGGGGGGGGGGGAATTTCAAAAACACAACAGTTTCACCAAGAAGAAAGAAACGCAAGCAGTATGAAAAGACAAGGAAAGAAAGGACCACAAGCAATGCAGGTCAACTCAACTTTAGAAGAGGTAACAGCTGCAGCAGATGGAATGTCAGATAAAGAATTCAGGATATATATGCTTCAGATGATCTGGAGTATCAAGGAAGACATTAGACAGCAAAATCAGATAATGAAAGATCACTTCGACAAGGAATTACACAAACAAATCCAGGAAGCAAAGGATCAACTATACAGGGAGATAGAGGTTATAAAAAACAAACAAACAGAAATCCTAGAAATGCAGGAAGCAATAAACCAACTTAAAAACTCAATTGAGAATACTACCAGCAGAGTAGAACACTTAGAAGATAGAACGTCAGACAATGAAGACAAAGTATTTCAACTTGAAAAGAACATAGACAGCTCAGCAAGACTGTTAAGAAACCATGAGCAGAACATCCAAGAAATATGGGATAACATTAAGAGACCAAACTTAAGAGTCATTGGGATACAGGAAGGTATAGAACTCCATACCAAAGGAATGAGCAATTTATTCAATGAAATAATACGAGAAAACTTCCCAGACTTGAAGAATGAGACAGAATCCCAAATTCTAGAAGCCTACAGGACGCCGAATGTGCAAAATTATAAGAGATCCACACCTAGACACATTATAATAAAGATGCCCAGCATACAGAATAAGGAGAGAATTTTAAAAGCTACAAGAGAAAGGAAGCAGATTACATTTAGGGGCAAGCCAATCAGGATAACAGCTGATCTTTCAACACAGACTCTGAAAGCTAGAAGATCCTGGAATAACATATTTCAAACACTGAAAGAAAATGGGTTCCAACCAAGAATTGTGTATCCAGCGAAATTAAGCTTCAGGATGGAAGATGAAATTAAAACCTTCCACGACAAACAAAAGTTAAAAGAATATGCAGCTAGAAAACCATCTCTTCAAAACATCCTCGGCAAAACATTACAGGAAGAGGAAATGGAAAATAACAATGAAAACCAACAGTGGGAGGTAGGACAGTAAAGGGGGGGAAAATAATCAAAGAGGAAAACAAACCATGTTTAGTAACAGAAATAAACAAATATGGCTGGAAGAACAACCCATATCTCAATAATAACCCTAAATGTTAATGGCTTAAACTCACCAATTAAGAGACACAGGCTAGTAGAATGGATCACAAAACAAGACCCAACAATATGCTGCCTACAGGAGACGCATTTGATAGGAAAAGACATACATAGGCTGAAGGTGAAAGGTTGGGAAAAATCATATCACTCATATGGACTTCGGAAACAAGCAGGAGTGTCCATACTCATATCAAATAAAATAGATTTCAAGCCAAAGTTAATCAAAAGGGATAAAGAGGGACACTACATACTGCTTAAGGGAACCATACACCAACAAGACATAACAATCATAAATATATATGCCCCAAACAATGGTGCAGCTATGTTCATCAAACAAACTCTTCTCAAGTTCAAGAGTCTAATAGACCACCATACAATAATCATGGGAGACTTCAACACACCTCTCTCGCCACTGGACAGATCTTCCAAACAAAAGTTGAATAAGGAAACTATAGAACTCAATAACACAATTAATAACCTAGACTTAATTGACATATATAGAATATACCACCCAACATCAAGCAGTTGCACTTTTTTCTCAGCAGCACATGGATCCTTCTCAAAAATAGATCATATATTATGTCACAGGGCAACTCTTAGACAATATAAAGGAGTAGAGATAATACCATGCATCCTATCTGATCATAATGGAATGAAACTGAAAATCAACGATAAAAGAAGGAAGGAAAAAGCATACATCACTTGGAGAATGAACAATAGGCTACTGAATGATCAATGGGTTATAGAAGACATCAAGGAGGAAATTAAAAAATTCTTAGAGATTAATGAAAACACAGACACAACATATCGGAATCTATGGGACACACTGAAAGCAGTTCTAAGAGGAAAATTCATTGCTTGGAGTTCATTCCTTAAAAAAAGAAAAAACCAACAAATAAATGATCTCATACTTCATCTCAAAATCCTAGAAAAAGAAGAGCAAAACAACAGCAAAAGAAGTAGAAGGCAAGAAATAATTAAAATCAGAGCTGAAATTAATGAAATCGAAACAAAAGAAACAATTGAAAAAATTGACAAAACTAAAAGTTGGTTCTTTGAAAAAATAAACAAAATCTACAGACCTTTAGCCATGCTAGCGAAGAGAAGAAGAGAGAGAACTCAAATTACTAGCATACGGGATGAAAAAGGCAATATCACAACAGACACTTCAGAAATACAGAAGATAATCAAAAATTATTTTGAATCCTTATACTCCAATAAATTAGAAGATAGTGAAGGCATAGATAAATTTCTTAAGTCATATGATCTGCCCAGATTGAGTCAGGAGGATATAGACAACCTAAACAGACCAATATCAATTGAGGAAATAGAAGAAACCATCAAAAGACTACCAACTAAGAAAAGCCCAGGACCGGATGGGTATACAGCAGA